AGCCACTATTGCTGCTTTCATTGTAATCGAAAGTGTAAGGAGAGAAACAGGAAGGACCAGGGGGTAGGTAAGTTAAAGATTTGTTGGGACATTTCCATATATTGGCTTCAGTATTCATTGTGAAAAATGAGATTTTTGTGCCCCTCTCTGTCTTGTAAATGGCTGGGGCGGTAGTTGTTGCTGATTCCAACGCACGGTAACTCATGTATGCAGAATATAACTAACTGCTCCTTTCAAAGCTGTGATATTCTGGAAGCAGGAAGACAGAAGAATTGATGCCTTTGAATTGTGGTGTTGGTGAAAAGTATTGAGTATCCCCTGGACTGTCAAAAGAACAAACAAATCTGTAGGGAAGGAAGCATAACCAGAGTTCTCCTTAGAAGCAAGGATGATGAAACTTCACCCCACTTACTCTGGGCATATTTTCTGGAAGAATAAGTTGTTTGGAGAGAAATATCATGCTGGGAAAAGTAGAGGGTCCGCAAAAGAGAGGAAGAACCGCAAGAAGATGGATTGAGACAGCGACGGTAGACAATGGTCTTGAACATGACAGCGATCTTGAGGCTGGCGCAGGACAGGGCAGGGTTCAGATCTGTTGTTCATAGGGTCACCATGAGTCATAGTCCACTTGATGGCACCTAACAAAAACAGCAGGCCTATCTCCTGAGGAGCCTCTGAGTGGGTTTGAACTGTCAATCTCTTAACTAGGAGCAGAGCATTAAAACATTTACACCAGCCAGGGACTCTTAAAAAAATGATGGGGCAGAGGTCATAAAATATTTGAGGAAGGTGGAGAAAATATGAAGTATCATTACAAAAAAATGGAAACTAACTAGACAGGACTAGGGGTCCCCCGGAGTGTGAAGGTTAGGAATCTGCCAGTTGTGTGAGTTTCTTTAGCAATGATGACACTTTTATTGGATATCTGTGAATTTATATTTGTAATATTTGCTCATCTTTCTCCTGTGTTGAAGTATAATGTGAATAACCACACAGAGGCCTGATGATAATCATAAGGGCAGTTTATCAAAGTCCTTTCAGGGCACCAGGCCAACTTGGCTTTGGATGACCCAATGTTTACATAATTTCTTTTGTTAATAATTTTCCCAGCAAATTGAGTTACAAGTTCTTTTTTTAAGCATGAACACCTCCAAACCTTGAGTTATAGTTTCACCTGTGATTAGGGTGAGAAATTTGTGTTTCCCCTGTTTTTAGGTAGATGAGATTTGGATTCATGGCATTGGGTGCCACAGAGCTTGCCATTGCCCATATGTTTCATCAAAGAATGGGATAAGGCCACCAGAGAAGGAAAGATCAGAAACTTTCTGGACCGGGGGTGAAAGTTGTAAACCAATTTTCCCTCTTTTTTCAATACCTGCCTCCCAGCTATGTCAAGCATTTGGAGAAAAATGGAATGAATTGGAGGAGGCTGTAGAAGTTTGAATTATATTATTTCTCATTAAATACCTTTTAGAAAATCACATCAAGCTGGAGTATCGCCTGGAATACTCCATGGCATATTCATGGTATTAAATATACTATGTGTGACTAGGGAGCTCTGGTGACCTAGTGATGAGAAATTGCCCTGCAATCCAAAGGCACACAGTTCAAATCCACTAGCTGCTCTGTGGAAGAAGGATGGGCCATCTCCTCCCATGCAATTTAATGCCTCTGAAAACCCACTGGAGGGTCACCTATTGGTAGGTTCCACCTTTATGGCACAGAACAACAACATGTTCCTTAAGTTCTAAGATTCTGCCAATCAAATCAATCTCTTCAACTTTATCACCCTAAAGGCCCTATAGCAATGGGTTTTCCTGTAGTAGAAGACTTTGTCAAGTTATCTCTTAAAAATACACGATACACATTTTTATCATCTGAGTGTGAGCCCAAGCTCAGTGGCACAAACCGGAGAAATGGTCTCCGATCCCCGGTGAATGTTCTTTTAAGAAGTGTCCCAGTGAGAGAACCATTTCTTGTATTTTTCCAGGGCAAACATGGGTGGTTTGACTATCTTTCCCTTGCCTTTTGGCATGCTTCTAAGTCTCTTTCCATGTGTGTCCGGGGCTACACACTCACTAAAACCACTATAATAATAATAATGAAGTGAGTCTATCTGATGATATTCAGAGAACAGTGAAAATGATTTGTCTTGCGTTCCAAATCAGGTGCGCTGGACTGCTCACTGATGTGGCTTGCCTGCTCTTGGCTTGGGTTACTCTGTATAAGGTTACTCCTGGTTATTCCACTCACCTGGGCCCAGTGACCTAAAGATAAATTCTAGTCAATACATTAGCTACTCTGGTCCATCTGTCTTCTTGTGGGGTTATGTGACAAAAGTCTAACAAGAATGGATCCCAGAAAAGCTCAAGTATGGCCCTTGGGTATATCATCTACACCCCTCTGTCCGCTCTATCCACCCCTCTGAATTAACATTTCAGGGACTGTATTCAGATAAAATTTTCTAAGCTCCAGTCCCAGCCACCACTGTCTCCCTTTGCAAGACAGAAAAGATGGTGTTGGATTCTTTTTGATCCAGGTACCTGCTGCCACAACACAACACAGGGTGGAAGAACTTTGGTTGTTGAGAAGCAACTAAAATGCTGGATTGGATTTTCGAGTCTAGACAGGAAATCTGTCCATGGTCAGGAAGAATGCTTTACCTTGTCCTTCATCCGGGGCCTTGTCCTAGATGAGACCAAAGATCTCTTGGCCTGGCAGAAGGGTGCAGTCTGTGGTGTAAAGAAGAGTTGCCTGAGGTCAGAGAGGCTGGATTCCACTTGGCCAGGGAAAGAGAGTGGCCTCAGGAGCAGACATCCAAGTTAGGCACCTGTCAGAGCCTTCTCTTTGTGATGTCAGGACTTGGAATAGATTTATTTCTCTTGCAAAGGAAACAACACAAACTGTCAGTCCTGCCCACAGTCTTCTGTCTCTTCTGCAATGCTCATGTCTCCTTTGGATTTCGGTTCTACTCTTCACTGGCTACTTAGAGGTAGGAGGTAGGTTAAAAGAACAAAAAGGAAGAAAATCCTTTGATTTGCTTTCAGCTCTACCAGAGATTCTTTTTGGCCCTGGGAAAATGCCATCTCTCTGAGATTCAGCCTAGATCAGTGATTTTTATGCCTTATTCTGTGGAGATGCCAGAAGCCCAAGGGGTTCCTCAGAGCCCCATAAAATGCAGCAGTAGAAATGGAGGCTGAGCTAGTTCTGCACTCCCCCACTCAGCTTTCACCAGAGCAGCTGTCTTTTTAACCTGTTTTACATATTGCTTTCCTACTCGAGGGTTCTATGAAGAAAGAGACTGCAGGATCAGTTTGAAAACAGTTGGGCTAGATGCTCTCTAAAGTCCCTTCTAGTTTGAGATTCTTGGTTTTCTGAAGCTCGGCTTAAGTCATTCTTCCTACAGGAAGACTTCCAGGTTTCCCAGACCTGGATATCTGAGCTCTAGCATTTTGGATGGTGCCCTTAGCACCCACTGAAAGGCATCCTTGCTGACTTGTCTAAAGATTGGACATGAGTGAGCTATTTCCCCAGCTAGGTAAGCTCTTTGAGCACAGGAATGAAATTTTCTTTCCATGTCTGTCTCTTTATAGTATCTTATGCAAATGTCAAGAGATAAACCTCTCATATGGGATAAAATCCTTCAGAGGGCCTCTCTTCTTGGAGAAGTCAGCCTCTGACCTGCTGAGTGCCTCCGCTTCGGAAGACCTGTCCTTAGGGAGCTTGGCACCCTGACCTAGGAAACTGCTTCAGATTCACATACTTCCAGAAGGGGCAAGCCTGGGTCCCTGCCATACTTAAACTCAGCTGAACCTCCATTGCTGCTACCCCCACCCCAACCTCTCCTACAGAGGTTCTCTGTCTTTATGACTCCAGTCCCTAAGACCCAGATCAAATCAGCCAGGATGTCTTTGGCTGGGAGACATCTTACCAGGGGCAGCTCTGGAGCTTGTTCAGGATCTAGCTCTCTGGAAGTGGAGGTCTAAACGAGTATTGGGGATTGAGGCCTTTCCTCAGAGACACCCGAGAAGGCAGATAGAGAGAGGCTGCTGGAGCTGAAGGACCAGGGCCATGTCCTTGAGGTGGGTGGCAGGAGATGAGAGGCTTATCAGAAAACAAGCTCTGCTATGTGACAATTTGCTAGCTATGTGACATTGGGCAAATCACTTTAGTCTCAATGTCTTTACCTGTAAACTGAGGACCAAAGAACCTAACCAATTGCAGGCTACCTCATAGTGAAGGAGTGAGGTTATAAGAAGACAATGGGTGTGAAAAGTGCTCTGTAAATGGAAAGGTGTCAGGAGATAAAGGATTAGGATTCTTTCTCTTGCTGGGGAGAGCACCAAAACCTGCTTCCAAAGAAGGAACTTCTGAGCTCCCATCCCTCCTTCTCCTGCTTCACTCACAGCAGTCTATGCCTGCCTGTCCTTGAAGTATTTCTGGCCAGACTGGTGAGTGTAAAGGGAGCAGGAGTAGTTTGGGACAGAGGCCCTAGCCCACTTCTGGCCCAGAGAAGCTCCCCAGTTGAGAGGAGTGTCCTGATAGAGTCCATGAAAAGTGTGACATCCAGGAGGCCTCTGAGGTTTCTGAGGCCTCTTCTGGTCAGTGAGGTATCCTAACTGCATTGCAAAGACTGGGTCCCTTAGTCCCAGTTGAACTTATTGCCACTTGGGATGGGACCAGGGCAGCCTCCTTGGCTTTTCTCCCGCCCAGAGGGTCAGTCTTGGCTGGGCTGTGGAGGAAGAAGGGCTCTTAGTGGGCCACCGGAGATTTTGACACTCCTCTTCAAAGATCCTTTTCACTGAATCCTCCAATTGTGAAGAGTGAGCAGCAGCCCAGGCCACGACTGGAAAATCTGGCAGAATTTAAAAGCCATAGTTGGAGAGTAAGACCTCTCCAAGCTGTCTTGGGGAAACACTTTCAGGATTTAGCCTGCTGTTGCCCCATTCTATCATGTTTGAGAGACTTCTGCACCCTGGCCCAGCCTCACTGTGCCTGCCTTAGCTGCTATATCCTGAGGTGTGGGTGCTGGGCCTGCGCAGCCAAACATCTGGCAGATCTGGCTGGCTATTGGGCAGCACAACAGGGCTGCTGTCCCCTGGACCTGGTCCTGGCCCTCCACGGCCCTTCCAGGATGAGCTGCTCTGGTGAGAGACAGGCAGTGATGGGTCATAAACTGTCTCCTTGAGTGCTAACCACAGTGTGTCTCGCTTTCCATTCAGCTGGCCACGCTCAGGTACTGGCCCAGTTTCATCCAGGTCCTCTGGGGAGGCACCCACTGAATCAGGTACACGGGCGCTGGGCTCAGAGGCGCTTAGGCAGGTCTCATCGGACACGCTGAGTCCCTCCAGGGTGCTAGCTGAGGAGCCCAGGCAATCAGAAGGCTCTGTAGCCTTGCGCTTGGGGGAGTGGGCTGGGGCTTCTGGTGAGGACCGCAGGGGCTCAGTCTTTTGCCCTTGGGAACATTGCCTGGCTCGAGTTTTGGGACTGATGCCAGCCTGCTTATAGGGAGAGGAGGTCTGCAGGGCTGGGCACTGGCTGAATACTGCCTGGTGGTCTAGGAGCAGCTCCCTTAGGGAGGCCGGGGCTGGTGGGGGCCGGGAGCAGCAGGGACCGTCATGCAGCTGCAGGTCCTCAGAGAGTACTGAGGGCCGGTGGGACAGCTTACTGGTGGCTGTGCTGGTATCAAAGCTGGGGCTCCGGCGCCGCGCCAGAGGCTGCAGCTCATATTGCTCTGAGCAGGATCCGGGTGCCCTTCCCACCGGTCCTTGTCGGGGATGGCCTGCCTTCTCCCCATTGGGCTCCCCAGTTCCAGCATCCCATGGCAGATGGGCACAGGGCCAGAGGATCTGCCCGCAGTTCTTCTCTGGCCCGAAGAAACAGCATAGAGATTGGAAGAAGAAGCTGGCAAAGCCACAGCTGACACACTTGACCATCATGAGGACGATGCCCAGCTTGCGATATAGCAGCACTGTGGCTGGCAGCATGAGCACACCTGCCGCAAACAGGGCTGCAGCCCCCACTGCTGTGGCACAGCTGGTCTGGCGCAGGGAGAAGGCCACGCGGCTCAGCCGATCAGGGTGTGGGCACAGGTGATAGGAGATGCAATAGTTGACAGTGAAGTCTACCGAAAGGCCTACAGAGGCCGACAGAAAGAGGGCCTCGGCAGTGTTGAGCTGCCATTCAAGTAGAACCAAGAGTCCCACAGTGAGCAGTACCGTGCCTGCCACAGCTGCTACTGAGAACAGGCTGAGGGGAACATTCCAGGTACCCAGAAGTAGTGTGGCAAAGGCCAGTGCCAGCGCCAGGCCCAGCACCACAGCAGGCTCAGTGCTTAGGCTGTGCTGAAGGCTGTAGAGATCCAAACGGCTGGTGAACCAACCCCTGCGTAGACCAGGAGGAGCCATGGCCAGCTCTGTAGTCAGCCAGAGGCTGACATCAGTGTAGAAGTGGTGGGTCTGGCTGTACTCTGAACTATATTGGAAATTGGTCTGGAACTGCAGGACCAGGGCAGCCAGGCTGCCATGGGCATCAAAACGGAGGCCTAGGTCATAGGTGCCATCCAGACCTTGTTCCAGAGCCATTATCTTGAGGCAGTGCATGAAGAGTTGGGGGGCCCAGGGGAAGCCCGAGTGGCCGCAGCAGAGGCCAGGCCCCAGACGGGCACAGTGGGGGCTCTCCATCCACTCCTGGAGAACCTCCACGAAGCACAGCGTAGGCCATCCCTCTGGCTGAGTGCCAAAGAAGCTTTGATTCCGGGCCCGGTGGCAGAGTGCCAGCAGCCAGCGCTGGGCCTCAGGGCTGCTGACAGAAAAAGCTGGGTCGCTCACCAGGGAGCTGTTGCTGCGAGGGTCCAGTGGGTCACCAGTGTCCATGGGCAGGATGCCCCACACCAAAACCACGGGCATGTGGCCACCCTCGCCCTGAGGCAGCCTCTCGAACAGGAATTGTTGGCGGTACTCTGCATCGAAGCGCTCGAAGGGATGGCTTGGCCGGAAAACCTGACCACGGGGTGGTGGCAGGGTGGGCAGCCGCAGGCGGGGACTGACGCCAGCGATGTAGGCGCCCCCTGCTGCCAGTGCTGCGAACCAGCAGATCCAGATGTAGCGGAACTTGATGACGCCGCAGGGGAGCAGGCGCTGGAAAAGCAGGCGCGAGGTGCCGGCTGCCGCCCGCCGAAGGCTGCGGAGCCGCCGGTGCAGCGCCAGCGCCAGCCGCCGGGGTGCGCTGCCGCCCCACGCGCCCTGCGCTCCGGGCGCACAGCCGCGCGCCAGGTAGCGCTCGTGGAGCACGGCAGAAGAGGGCAGCCAGGCGAGCGTGAGCACCAGGTGCGCCAGCACGGCCGTGCCCATGTAGAGGGCGAAGCAGCGCACAGCCGGGAGGCGGCTCAGGTAGCTGGCATAGAAGGCCGCGCCCGTGGTGAGCCCCGAGACCAGCAGTAGGTAACCGAAGTGATGCATGGTGCGGCCCACGCGCTGCGCCAGGCCTCCAGAGGGCAGCTGGCTCTTGCTGAGGCGCCACAGGTCGAAGAAGATTAGTGTGTGGTTGGCGCAGACGCTGCTGAGCAGGACCAGGGCCGCCAGGTTGACGAAAGGGAAGTAAGTCATGCGGAAGGCCACCCGATACAGAAAGAACGCTACGAGCAGGGAGCCCAGCACCCCAAGCAGCACCATGAGTGTGAGGAAGAGCGAGCGCAGATAGAGGGCGATGCTGAGGAAGATGGCAGCCAGGGCCAGCACGGGGTACACTGTGTCCTGGACCAAGTAGTGCCTCAGTAGCTCCTGCTTGAGGCCCAGGTCCATGCCGGTGATGGATGTGTAGTTGTCAGAGAGCCCCCAGGGCACAGCTAAGCGGTCCAGGTAAATGCTCATCATGGAGGCACCCTTTGGGGTGGGCAGGAATAGTAGGCTGTACTTGAGAGAGGGCACCTGGTAGTCAGCAGTCTGGGGGCTTAGGAAGTCCCGGTCCAGAAGAAAGTGCAGCAGTTGGTAGACTGCACTGCTTCGTGAGCACTTGGTGGGAACCTGGGCACAGCGTGGGGGCTTGTCCTGCCCAGGCCCTAGGCAGGAGGGCACCAGGGTGCCACGATGGTAGTAAAGGGCACAGGTCCGCAGCAGGGCCAGCGTGCGGGCTGCATCAGCCTGGGTAGTGTCCAGGCAGGAAGAGCGGTTGGAGAGCACAGCCACATAGTTGCCCAGGGACCAACTGGGGCAGCACTCGTTGGCTGCTGTACGTTGGCACAAGGCCTCAAAGTGGGTATGGGAGCGGATCTGTAGGGCATATACAGCAGGAGAAAGTTCAGAGGCAGATCTGGGGCCCAAATTCCCCCAGCTCTGCCTGAGGACACCTCCCCCCCACCTCCTTTCAGGCTGCAGAACAGAGGCAGTACAACTGCCTTATGATATTGGCAGTGGGGTAAGGCACAAGATCTGAGAATAAATCATCCCAGTCCCTGAGAAGGCTTATGCAGCCCAGTAGACAGAGGGAAGGAGCTGGGTTGGGCAACTTGACCCAAAGCTGGTTCTGGCTCTTGACTGAAATGTCATCAAAGAGGACCATCAGGGATGCTGCCAGAGGCCTCAGTCTGAGAGTCCATGTCCTGAGGGACCTCTGAAGGTCAACACACTCCAACTCTGTACTGCCTGAGTCAGGCATGGAAAGCCAGGTGGCAACTACAGATGGACCAAGTCCCAGGGTTTAGGAAGTTGCAAGCAAGCAGTAAAAAGAGTGGAGGCAAACAGATCACCAAGCCCTGGCCCCCTGTTTAGTCCACTCGGCTGCCCTCTTACGACTGGAGTTGCTTCTTTCTTAGACCTGGTACCTCCTTTGTGCTTCAGCCTTGCTGTTGACATCACAACAGCTGATAGAGTATAGAGAGTAGCAGCCTGGGAGGTCAGGGGCCCAGTTCTGCCACCAACTGTCTGTATAGCCTTGGGCCCGAGATGACAGCAATCATAACACTTTGTGAGATTACTGTTGCCAAGCATCATTTACATCATTTTCTGCTATCAACTCAGGCTCTGACTAATGGTGATCCCAGGTGCTAGAGCAAGTACTGCTTACTAAAGCAGCATGGGGTTTGAATGCCAGGCCCTTCTTTCTTCTGCAGAGCCACTGGGTTAGTTTGAACCACCAATCTTTAGGTTAGCAACCAATCTCAATTTGCTTGTGCCACCCAATCTCCTTTTGTTATATGCACATACAGACACACACACAGTGCAAATTCTGTAATTTTTTCAATTGTCACAGCATGCCTGAGGAAAGTGTCATTACTATTCTCATTTTATAAATACAAAGACTGAGGCCACTGAGAGGTCAAGAACTTACCCGACGTCACACAACTGACTACTATTATATCTGGCCTTGAATTTGGGCATCTGACTTGAGCACATGTTTTTTACTAATGTCTCTTGAGATTTCAGATACCTTCGTTTAAAATGAGGAGCTTGGGCTACTGAGTGTTTTTACTCTGTTTTTAGCAGCAAATTTCTCCTCAGATGTTAACAGATTTGATTCTTCAGTTTGCATTATTGGATTGGCACTACTTGAGTTGATGGGGGCTGGGGCTTGAAGCCCACAGTCTCAGATCCCTGGATTAGGGCACCTCAACAACCCCTGAGGACATTTTTAAAATCCTCAGACTTATGGCTGCTCGATTTCCTTTCCAGTGTGTCTATCTTGGCTCTATTGAAAACAGCTGACTCTTTCTTAACCACCCCGCTCTAACCCAAAGCCTCTCTGCAGGGCTGGAATAATTTGCTAAGCAGGGAATGCTTCCCTCAATCCATTTCCGCAGTCCTAGCTCAGTTATATTTCCGTGGGGTGGATCCCTAGTATTCCTGGTTGCCCCTAGACCCTGAGCCCTCTCCAGCCAGCTCACCTGGTCCTGCTCCATGCGACACATAGAATGGATGGCGTGCAGGTTCCATAGGCTGCCCTCAGAAGTGGACATGAACACCAACTGTGCATAGCTCTTCTCTGCAACATACACCAGCCCCCCACAGAACTTAGCCCTTTGGCCCCAGATCCTGGGCCCACCAAGGGAAGATGCTTGCCCAAAGACCAGATGAGATTCCAGACGCTCAAAAGCCCAAAATCTGGACCTAGCTGAGGGTCTGTGTCCTTATGCCCCACTCCCATTTGACTTGACCCTTCCTAACTGGAGCATCTGAGACCTGCCTCATCCTCCCAGTTGTAACCCAACTTCTTTTGCTTCAAAATGGCCAGGTGGCCACCATCTCTGCCTATCCAGGTTTGTTCTCCTGATCCTCCTACCTTAGTGGGTAGAGGGAGACTGACCAGGAACTGGCCAGGATGTAGCTTACCAGGGGGGCCACAGAAGAAACTGTCCTGCCTTCTGTCCTCCAGGGGTTCAATCATTCTCCGAGGCCGGGCCATGCCCTCTTGGGCACTGCTCCAGGATGTGGGGCTCAGAGTAGTATGGGAGCTTGAACTGTGGTAGAGAGAGAGAATATCTGTGCCAGTGGCCATTGAAGAGAGGTAGGCTCAAAGGTAGACAAAGCCCCTTGGAGCTTCCTTTGTGGTGTGTTGTTGTGTATTGCCAAGTTGCAAGTGATTCATAGCTGACCCTCCAGCAGGTTTTCAGATGCAGTAAATCACATGGGAGGAGACTGCCCATCTTTCCTCCTCAGAGCAGCTGGCAGATTCAAACTGTGTTCCTTTGGGTTGCTAGTGCAACTCCTTACCAATAAACCACCAGAGCTCTCTTTGTGAGGGTCATCCAATCGCTCCTCCCTGGGGGACTTTGATCTTCCTCCCTTCCCTGCCCACAGTGGAGAGATGGAATCATAGTACCTGTTCAGTTCGAGGTCTGGGGAAAGGGACAGCAGCTTTCTGGGACCTGTGAGGGCCTGCAGTGTTCTCCAGACCATTAGTCTGCGCCCGATATCTGTATCTCGAGGCTCAAAGCCCTGCAGGGAGGGGGACAGAGAAAAGGCAGGTGGACAGATGAGATACTCTTTACTTGGGCCCTTTGCAGTTCTTCCCCTTTGGGTCCCTGGAACAGGTGGGGCCAGCCCCTCTGTCTGAATTGTAGGAGAGTGGGAGCTGACCATTGCCACTCCACCCCTAGCTGTGCCACACCACCCTTCTGCTCTAGGCTGAACTGAGGTGACCAGACCTGGATACTCCCATCCCTTCCTTGTGCCCCTTACCAGCAAAGGCTTGGAGAAGTCAGGCAGCTGGCCCCCAAGCAGGCCAGCCAGGGTGCAGAGGAGGACGACAGCCAGACACAGCAGCAGCATGGCCACTGGCCACTCGGCGATCAGTTGGGAGTAGCTGGAAAGGAGGAGGGAGCCTCTGAGTTGATATTGGGTGTGGTAGCAGGGGGTCCTGTTAGCTTACTGGCCTCTGAAAAGGGATAGTAGAAGATGTGGAAAGGGGCCAGGCCTACCTCCTTGGCATCCGATAGGTTGGTTCCTGCCTGTGGAAGGGAAGAAAAGACATTTGCTTGCCAGAGTCATCTTGTAGTTGGGTGTAGAGATAGAGGGGTGGGTGGGGAGGTCAGGATACAGATGGCATTAACCCTTTCATGCTTTTCCTGCCACCTCCATCAGAGGCATAGAACATCCAGAGCTGCCTCCTAAGGGAGTCCAAAGCCCCGGGGGCTACTCCTCGTTTAGACCCTGCCCCACCTTCCAGTGGCAGCTGGCAGGCTGCTGGAGCCCTTCTTACCTGACGCTGACCACATGGTGCTGCACAGACCGTGGCTTCCAGGCCCCACCCCGCTGCGAGGTGGCTGGGGAAGGGCTGAGGCTGGAGCCATGGGAGCACAGAGCTGCCCGGTCCCCAAGCCCTGGCAGGGAGCTGGCCCCCCGGTATTCCTGTGGTGCACGGGGATAGGTGAAGTGGACAGGGGCCAAGGGGCTGGACGGACCCACAGGCTGGAGGGTGCTGGTTGCTGGTGGGGGTGCTGAAGAGCTGGAAGGATCCTCCAGGGGGCAGCTGTGGAGGGAGCAGCTTCTCTCTGGGCTTGCCTCAGGGGCCACGGTGTTGGTCCGGGATCTGGGAAGAGAGGAAGCAGCGAAGACGGGGTGAGTGGTAGGGATGGACCACCCCAAGGTTAGGAAGGATTGACCCCTTTCAGTGCACCAGTGTTCAGTAAACCTAGACAAGGGGTCTGGGGCTCAGAGTTCTATTACAAGTCAGGGATAGAGACCACAGGGTGGGGTTCAGTCTATATTCCCAGCCTAACTCTTGGGATTCATCCATTCATTCATCTACGCACGTACTCAGTAAACATTATTGGCCATTGGCTGGGCTAAATACTGAAAGTGTGTTCACATATATGATCTTATTCCACATACATGATCTTCTTTACTTTAAAACAAAAACTCTATGAGGGAATTATTTTCATTTTATTGATTTGAAGGCTGAAGTAAGAAAGGTTGACTTAGCTGGTGAGAAGAGGAGCTGGGACTCAAACCTAGTTCTTCTGACTTGCCATTGTGTGTACCTTCTCCCAGTCAGCTGCTCATCCTCTTGTCTGACATTCTTTGCACACTGCCTGCACTCTTGTTCCCACCTTGACAAATCCCCAGCTCATAGCAACTCTCCATCGGTCTTCCATAAATTTAAATCTTTGCAGAAGATTATTCCTCTTTCTCCCATGAAGTAGCTGGTGAATTTGAACTGCTAAAGTTTTGGTCAGAAGCACATGTAACACACTACAGCACTAGAGCTCCTTTGTCCCGATCTTGCTTACTCACTCTTACTGTCATTAAGTTGGAAGCCTCCAGTGGGTTTTCAGAGACTGTTAATTACATGAGAGGAGATTTCCCGTCACTCTTCTAAGAAGCAGCTGCTGGTGGCTTCGAGCCTTTGGGTTGGCATCAAAACTGCTTACCTGTTAGGTCATCAGAGCTCCCTCCTACCTTCTCCTTGTTGAGTATGTGAAGTCAGAATCACAGTTGACCATCCAGCAGGTTTTCAGAGGCAATAAATCACAAGGGAGGAGATTTCCCATCATTTGCTCGCATTCTTACCTTGTTATTGTAGTTTGGTGCCGCTGAGTCAAGTACGACTCATAGCAACCCTTTGAACAGCCATCCTGAGACCTGCACTGTCCTGTGCCATCCTCATCATCTCTGAGACACCAGAGCCTACTGATGAAGCCACAGAGTCACTCCATCTCATTGGGGTCTCCCTCTCCTTCTCTGACTCTCCATCTCTCCAAGCACAAGGCCTGAGAATGTTCTCCTTCTGCCTGAATACTCCTCCCATAAATAATGGCTTGACTTGCATCCAGTGTCTCTTCAACAACTTTTTTCTCAGAAAAGCCTTCCCTGACCACTCTGCCAGATAATCACCCACCATCTCTCTGTTCCTTACCCTGCTTTGTATCTCTTCTTCAGACCATTTGCCACAACTGAGCATTACACAGCTAAAGCTCAACCCAGCCCAGGTTTTCCACCTTTGGCAGAGTGCTTTACATTCTTCTATGGCTCTCTGTTGAGAATCCTGTCCAGTGAGTTTCCATCTCTAACAGGTTGCTGCCTTACACAGGTTTTACATTTTACATGTTTTAATTATATATATATATATATATATGTTTAATTTACTGTCTCCCAAATATGTGTTGGAATCCTAACCTGTTTACTTACCTGTAGGTGTAATACTAGTTGCAAAGAGGCTTTTCTCTATTATGTTCACTGTGTGCCCTAAACCTCATCATCTGAATACTAATACTAATAATAATAGCATATTAGACACAGATAGACTCAAGAGAAAGCAGAATGCAGACTATAGAGACTGATACATCTGCAGGGCTCAGCAATGCCAAGGATGGAGCAGCTATTAACAACAAATAAAGGGAAAACCCAAATCCCTGCCATCAAGTTGGTTCCTATTCATAGTAACCCTATATGAGCAGACACAGTAGAACTGCCCCACGGGGTTTCCAAGAAAACAGTCTGATCATTCTCTCTGGGAGTGACTGATGAGTTTGAACCACCAATCTTTTGGTTACAGCCCAACACATAAACCACCATGTTGTCACAGCTCCTATGGCAACTACTAGAAGCTGAATTAGACAAGGTAGGACCTACCTCTCCCTAGAGCTTGAGTTTGGACTTGTAGCCTTCTGAATGTGGGAAAATAAATTTCTATTCTTTAAAATCACTTGTTGTGTTTGGGTCACAGCAGCACTAGGTAACCAAGACAAAATACTCTCGAAATGCAAACTCATGGCCATTGCACCAGAACCAAGTGGCTTCAGTGGGTTTTCAGAGGCTATAAGACTGTCTCATCTTTCTCCTGAGGGTTTGAGCCACCTGCTTTTTAGTTGGCAGCACAACTCCTTATCCATTAGGCCACCAGAGCTGAGTGGTCATGTTTATTGCTTGCCTGTCACATGGAATGCGAACCCTGGGAGAGTGAAGCTCTGTCTTCTTGTCCATCTCTGTCCTAGGCAGGCTGCTGGTAGTGATGTAAGGAGAACTTAATCCCAGTCCTTACCCTTGAGACACTGATAAGGGGCCAGAAGTGTGAACAATCCAAGAGAACACCACTTTTCACAGCTGAATGCTGTGAAAGAGGATGTCACAGAGGCCTAAAGGATCCTGGAGGGGGACTCCAACTTTGATAGACATGGAAGTGGCTGGGAAATGTTTGCAGGTAAAAGTGCCACCCTTTCACCAACCCCATCATGATTTATATAGGGGCATAAGGTTTGCTTTGCAAGGGTATGCACATTGTGGGGAGGAGGCAGGGACTACAAGAAATATTCTGGGGAGATATCAACAGTATATGTGTGTCTCAAAGGACCTCATGCAGATCACTCTATGTATGGATCCAGACCCACTTTTTTGAGAGAAGAGGGTCCACCATAGTGACAAGCTTGCCACCCAGGGTGCCAGAATGAGGATAAAGTGGAGTACCTGAAGACCAAGGAGGATGCTGAGAGGGGATCAGGGTTGAGAAGCATTGGTGGAGGCTGGCTGCCTTCCTCACACTCTGCTTGGCTAGCCCAGCCCCCAAGAATTGCACTGCACCCACTGGTGAGCCAGGTCTATGGTGAGCCAACCCTGGCTTCCTGTACTGCTGGAGGGGCTTCAGGCCAGAGTCCTGGCTGCTGTGGCTGGCAGACCTTGATTCTACACAGAGATAAAACAGAGAAACTGGAAGGAACAGACAAGCTCTTCCACTTTCTCCCAGCAGGATAGCTGGCTGGTACAGCATTGTCAAAATGGTAAAATAGGGGGGCAGTGGAGGTGGCTTTTGGCTTCCAAGACATGCAATTCTTGGAGAACTGGCATCTTTATCTCTTGAGTGGTACTATGACAGTGTCTGCATTGTGGGGTTGGTGTTTGTCTTCTTTTTTGGTATGTGAAATGCCACTGAACCTGGTATGTGACAGACATTTTTGCTGCCCTACTCCCTTTCCACCTTCAGTGCTTCAGGGACCACACACTTTAAGAGGTGTATTTGTATTTACAATGACCTCTTTAGGTACCTCAGATAATACATTTCTATTTTAAAACTTTTGACACCTTGAGATTCTCACTACATATGTAATTATACATTCCTTTTTGTTATCCAAGAGCTGTAGCAAAATTTAATCCATGATTTAAATAATCACTGGTGTATTTTTTCCACTAACATAACATTTAGAAAAACAGGAATTTTCCCAAAATGTTCTAAAGCAAGATTTCCGATGACTCTATAATGTTAGTCACATAAGCAACTAGGATCTTGGCAATAAGTACCTTGTAGACTAATCCCCCTAGGCTGCAGGGAAGCTGGATAAATAGCCTGGGATTATGTGTGTAAAAATGATTACCTACTTAACTTTTTTTTTAATTCTATAGGTCTTTTTTGAGTACCTGACATGTGCTGGCCACTGTGCTTGGTCTGGGTTGTGTCCTTCAGGCAAGGAGGTGACTTTCTTTAGAACAGAGCCTGCCGTTCAGGGCTCAAGAGGGTAGGCAGGTCAGGTGGAGGTGAGGGTCCTGTTCGACTACTGAGCACTGGGCTTGTCCCAGAACCCAGGTGCTTCCTGGCAGTGTCAATTTCTTCACTTTAAGGGAAGTCAGCAGCCCACTGATTGCTGGAGAATGAGAGCCCTGACCCTCACCAATCAGCCAGGCTTCAGTAACTCACCACCTTTTTAGCTGGCTCCTGCTAGAAGAGGATTCTAATCTCCACTGTTGATTTGCTTCCTCCAGGCTCCTTCCAGGCCCTGATCCTTCCCTTCTACCCATTTTATTCCTCTCCGGGGGCCTGGAATCAGCTGCCTTCATGTGTCGACTATGCCTGCTGCTGTTGGAAACTCCCCACATTCTGGTTGTTGTAGAACTTGGTCTTTGTTTCAACCCCCCAAAATGAGAAGAGCCAGATTTGACTCTTCAGAATAAAACCTTTCTCTTACTAGGACCTGCTGCCCTCTGCTATCAGGATACCTAGTAATTATACAAGTTGGGCACTGTAAGACCCCTTCCCCAGGTGGCTTTCATTCTCACCTTCTCAATTCTATAGATTTTACTGGGATAATTACCCTCTGAGTCTACCTACCTGGGCCCATAGACCTGGAAGCCAAGTGACCAATGTAGGAAGTGAGAAGATGGAAAGGGGTAATACAGGCCTTGTACAAAAGACCAACATCACAGCAGCCAGGGCTTAGTTGACAGGACCTTAGATACAGAAACCCTACTCAGGAGCCCTGTAAGGGGTGCATGCACTTATCTATATTAACCATGCTTCCAGGCCTGCAGACACCCAGCCATGCAGACATCCATGTGAGCCTTCAGAGTGGCAAGGACAGATGGAACTGCAGTTCATTCCATTAGGAAAAATGTAGGGGAGGCAATGAAAAAAACATAAATATTTATCATTCTTCTAAAGTCAGCACACATATAAAGGACTGTGAGTGAATGCAGTCTTATTCACTATAGATCTAGCCCAGAATGTGCTGTTTAGCCCAATAGGAGTACAACTGTGTCCTTGAATTAAATTGAACTGAGTTTCTATGCCAGATTAGTGCACAGGGTTTCCTGGGAAGTGTAGCAAGGGACCAAGTGTCCCAAGGAAGCAAGAGAGCAAGTGGTTAGTACTATGCCCAGAAATGACCTCTGTGTGGAGAAGAAGTGAACAGATCAGAACAGGCTAATCCTTGGCAAAACAGTCAAGGCAGTAAATAACTATCCAGCTCCTTTTAGGGTTCTCCTAGTGCCAGGTCCCTGCCCTATCATAGCTCTATTCTTGGTCTTGTGGCCAAGCCATAGTTCCAGGCAGCCCCCTGGTCCACTGAGCTCACCCATCCTGTGTCTCATTCCATTGAAGAAAGGCTCTGTTTTTTTTTCAGGTTGAAAAGTGGCTAAATCTATGCAGGCTGAGGGAACAACTACGGGAAGAAAACATTTTTTCCACTTGTGGGGCTTTGCCACCAAGTGTACATTTTAACTGGAGCAGATTGGAGACAAATATACCCAGCTTGGTTTTGCCTCCAAAGAATGCCTTGCCTGTTATTTCAGTCCAGGCAGGAAGGAGAGGCAATACTATGTCAGGGGAGGGATTCTGGGGGCGGCAGCACCAGACAGGACATAGAAATTGCGCCATATTGCTACCTGGCTGGGCTCTTGCCTCACACATATGGTGGCGGAAGGGGAAGGACAGGCACCAGGATCTAGCCTCCAGCAGCCTCACCAGCCTGAGGCTCCTTCAGAGGAGGTACAGACTGCGGCCGAGCTTCAGAGCCTGCCATCCTAGGGACCGCAGCGAGTGCGGGTGGCTGCTGCATGAGAGGACTCAGGCCCACACGTGCACAGAGAGCCAGGGCCAGGCAGAACAAGCAGGCCACCAATCGTGTCGGACAAAGGCAATCTCGGTCGGACAAATGTCTCCCCTCCCCAGAACATCAGCCTTCTCGAGACTCCATGTCCATGGCATACGCGCACCCTCGTGCATCCTGACATGCTGGAACCTGGCTTGGGGAAAATGCCGCGGGCTTGGGGCTTTCTGAGAAGAAGCAGGGCAGGACCTAAAGGGAAGAGATTAGCCGAGGGGCTCCAGAGGTTGGAGGGGAGGGGGACCCCGGGCTCGGAGGAAGGGTATGGATAGTGGGTGGGGCAGGACCCTTGGGTGGTTGAGGGTAATGGGACCAACACTAGAGGGTGTCAGGGAGTGGGGAAATGGGCCTGGCAGAATGAGGGCGTGGCAAGGGGTACCGGTAGGGAAGAGGCCTGGGAAGGGGTTCTGGGTGGGGCTGAGAAGTGAATGGGGAGGCATATGGCGGCTATTGGGGATACCTGGGGCGGGGTCCTAGAAGGTTTGCAGAGCAGTCTGCCCTACCTGTCTGAGGAGCTGCCATCTGGGGCCAAAGACTCCCCTTCTGGCCGTTGCTCCCCATCTGGACCCGGGCCGGGTGCCGGACTGCTGCCGCCGCTGCTGCTGTCACCACCGTCCATGCCCGTGGGCGGCGCCGCTGTCCGGGCGCTGGTGCTGAAGCCGCGGCGGCGGCTGGCTTCTGCGCATGCGCCAATCCTGGGCGCGCCCATAAATAGGCGGGGCATAATTAACTCCACCAATGGGCGCCAGGCCGGGGGGCGGGAACAGGGACCCCGAGGGGCGGGGATGGAGGCTCCCGCGGCACCGAGCGAGGAGCCCAGGCTCCTGTTGGTAGACCCTAGGTCTGGTATGTGAATCCCTCTACTGTGAGTTAGTCTGAAAGCTGAGTCTGGCCGACGAGCTAGCATCGTCACGTCAACCTTTTCTGGTTGTTGTTGTTGTTATGTGCCGTCGAGTCGCTTGCGACTCATAGCGACCCTATGTACAACAGCCCTAAACTCCGCTCTGTCCTGTGCCAAT